AGAGTGTAAAGTCTACAGTGTGTTGGAAGAGAGAGGACAACATCACAGTCAGCCGTTTTGGTTTCCACATGATGAAGTCCTGATCCTAGTAAATATAAAACATGCTTAAAATAATCTTTTAAGGTCCCATATAGTCTAAAGGTAGATGTCCATGTGTTGTTTGATTATAAAGCAGGTCTAGGTTCTATATTAATACTGTGAAAGTATCAAAGCCTCAGTCCTCAGAGAAATGCACACAGCCTGTATTCAGAAACTGAGCCTTAAAACCAGCCGTCAGGACTTCTGGAACTTTGTTATGTCACTGCCCTTAGCCATGCCCTAAGCCCCGCCCACCTGGACCCACCATCCAACAAGGCAGGATTTGGTTTCCCCGAGTGTTTTACCTGAAATCTGCTTCATATGGATCAACACTTCAAATAAAACACAGGAGAGGAAAATATGGAGCTTTAAGAGCTGGCGGTGACTGGTAATCAGGACGTTTTGTCTGGTACCAATCTGGGCCAATGCCGGCTGACATGGCTGTGGACTGAGTTAAAAAGAGAAGAATGGAGTGGAAGACAAGAACCATTCGAATCCCTCAACATGATTTTACCTCTCAACTGCCAACAGCAACACGCCCAGTCCATCATCACGTGTGTCACCATCTTAAAGAGAAGCTGAATGGAGGAAGAGACAGGAGCAGTCAAATCAGATGATCCAGACTAAAGAAATCCCCTCATATGGAGGTAAAGGAGAGATTACGTACTGTAAGCAAACCTGAAATGTTGGTAAAGGTGAGCACAAACCACTACAGGAAGCGCAGTAGGTCAAGACTGAAGCATGAAGTGGGTCATTAAACTGTGATGGATGTTTGCTAAAGACACTTCAGGTCATAATTTTACCTGGAGGTTTGTTTACAACCTGTCTGATCATGACTCCTTTTTTTGTTTGGTCTGATCAGAAAATCTTAACACTGTGTGTCCAAAGGCACAATCCAGGTTGTTTTTCATCAGGGTCAGAAAGCTTTTAAAATGTTACCAGAGATCTTTGGCTTTCGTCTTCTGTTATGATCGTGCATGTGATAGGTAAACAAGTTTGTTAGAATCGTTGGTTTGGCTCCCAGGAAAAGAACCAGGAGGAAACCTTTTCACTAAGTGGCCCAGCTAGTTCTTCACTAAACTAATGTCCGCTTGATGTGTAAATGTGTCTTTTATGTCATCTGTCTCCATTGGCAGTTAGTTAGATACACTGACTAACTTTACTATCTGTTTAGATGAGTACAGTGTTATAACAAATGAGGCCAATGCTACAAAAACATGATGAAGTTGTGGTATTTTGAAAATACCCTGAAGTTAAACAGGAGTAACCTCTTACAGAGAAAAGAGGATTTTAAACACATGATGCACACACACACACTCACACTAACCAGTTCTTATCAAATCTCTGTAACTCGCACTCTTTGAGCCAAACACACACGATGAAGAATCACAGTTGACCTTTCCTTTTGTCTCCGCGGACAGATGATTCCTCTCCCTCCGTCTTCTCTCCGTCTCGTGCGCTTTTACTAAAAATTGAAATATTGATCTTAATTAGAGTTTGCCGAGCTCAGCAGCTCACGTTGAGGGTTTTAGACAAGAGGCAGCAGACATCTGTCTAAGGCACTTATGTCTTCAGCGCAGGCAGGAGAGGAGCTACGTGGGTGAGGAGGAGGAGGAGGAGGAAGAGAGGAAAAAAAAAACGTGTAGTGAGAAGAGAAGAGTGATGGCTCCCTGTCTCCTGCCTTCTCTGAGAAACATGTCGAGCTCTCCATCTCCGCTCGCTGCTGTCAATACATCTGAGAGAGAATCGAGATGAACAGTCAAACACACACTCAAACACACACACACACACACACACACACACACACACACACACACACACACACACACACACACACAAATATCCATCCTGACAAAATGTTTTCAACACAGTTTAACTGGCAGCGTGGGACAATCCGTACGTGAAGGTTTCCAAGTTGCTGAACGACCATCAGCCGATTGATCTGTTGTGTTTGAGGTCAGGTTCAAAATAACTCTGATGAAGTTGGAAATACATACACGAGCATTTTTTAATCTGCAAAATCAGCTTTAGTTAGCGTAGCTTAGCATAAATACTGAAAACAGACGGAAACATCTAGCCTGGTTCTGTTTAAAAAATGAGAAATACATCTATCTACCGACACCTCTGTACACAAACAGAGATATAAAATGACAGTTTGTTTTCGATGCGATGGAACCATTTGTCGACAAAGCTCAGTCAGGTGCAGTGACAGTGCAGCTTCGTTAAGTCTTGTAGCAGGGTTTGGTCCCATGGTGTCTGTTCGGAGACTGAAACCAAAACTGATACGATTCTGACAACTCGTCATTAACAGACAAGAAATAATTTCAGTTGTTTTTAAATTTCTGTACATAAAGTTTATGTGCAGAAACCAGAGGGATGCCATTACGGAACAGTTTCCTGATTGCAAACCAAAAGAAAAGGAAGAGGAGATGCTACTTGTTTCATCTCTGTAGTGTTTCACCATGAATTGATGGACGGACAACCCGAACATATGATACCTCCAGCCCTGGCTGTCACTGATGTGGAAGCATAAAAAAAACCTCAAAAACTCAAATTTCTCTGCATTGGTGTGGACAAGCTCAGAAAAAAACAGTAACACTAACAGATGTGCCAAACACACACACACAGGTATTCTCATAGCACACACACACTTGTTGTTGCTTTAATCTGCTGCAGGAGGCAGCTTTGTCACTGTTGTGTGTGACCTCGCGGCTGTTTATTAATTATGTGTTACTCCTCAGAGTTTCACACAGCTCGTTTGTCGCCGTAAAGACACCTCGGTTAACTAGCATGTTAATACTGGCTCATCACTTGCACTCATACAGTGTATTAATAGTTTCATTAGTGGAGGTCTGAACTCTACAGAGCAGTGGATGTGGATAGGACGAGTCCCGGCATCCTTTCTGTGATGCTCTGCACTGGCGCTCAGCCATTTAGATCTCATACAAACAGATGCAGAGAAATAACGGATGAAAATAATAAAGACAGGAAGGACTGAGGTCAGTACGGAGACAAACTGAGGTGCAGATGAGAGGGCTTTTTTTGAGCTTCTACTGATGAGTTTGCTCTTCATATTGAAACATCAAAACAATCGATCAATCAAGTAAATTGACGTTGAGGTGAGATTATTTTGTTAAAGAACAATTTCTATGTTCAGGATTGACCTTCCACACTCAGTTACAGAAACTGTAAAATATTTATTTCCACATGGGTTTTCGCTGTAATGTGAACACAACATAAAGGTGGTCTTTTCTAATGTGCGCACACTAACGAGTTGGAAAGAGAGCCGATGTCTAAAACCTCAATCAGACTGAATTCACATTCTCATTCAACATTACCTGCGCTGATCAGTGATTTTAATCCCGTCCAGAGTGCATATGTGGGTAATTTTCACCGCCACCCCAATAATAATAATTACAGTCACAATAACCTACTGTCTTTGAACTCCTGTAATTTAAATCCTGTCTGTAGAGTTGATCTCTGGAGTTTTTCCTCATCTTCTATTTTTTCCCCCCTTTCTTAAATCAGCTCAGTGGGAATGTAACTTTTGTGTGAAAATAGATGAAGTCAAAAATGTTCTAATGTTATCTAATGCTAGCTAACATTAACACCAAATTTTAGGCCTTCTTGGGAACCAATAGGATGATGGGAAAACACTTAAATCATCAAGAGAATAAGAACCCATAGAAGCTCACCAGATGTGCTGTCAGGTTGGCACCGGTGTCTTTAGGCCATGTCCTGCAGAGTGTCCAGGTTTATTACAGATCACATCCTGCTTCCCCATCCAGAAAAGATAAAGGCTGTCCAGAGAAATGTGTTAAATTACCACATAGCACATTGAATATTTCATTCCCCACCTGTCTGTAATGTTAAAGACCCTCTGCAATGAAAATCAAGTTTTAACCCTGTTAACATGATGGTTTGTGATCCATATGGTGTTTATTATGTAATACAAGACAAATCATGACTGAAATAATCAGTCAACACCATGGCTGAGTATTTCCACCTTGAAGCTGCAGTGAAGCAATGACAGCCCTAAAAAAAAAACAAAAAAAAAACAAAAACACATTCAGACAGCCAGGGTTTCATTTGTCACATACCTGAGTGACCAATCCCGTCGATTTGGTAGGGTGGGGCTTTCCATATCGTTTTGCAGTGGCATACTGCTACGTAGCCAATGTCGTCATGCCAAAGACTCGTATTATCTATTACTGCTACGTTTCTAATGTTAAACATACATAAAATACATTACCGTCCTGTTACATCGACTTCAAGGCGACCCTCTTCAATTCGCGTTTTCTGTTTCCTGTTTGAACACGTACATGTGAATTACTCCTGTTTTACCCCCTGCTGCTACAGCAGCGCGCAAAACAGAAAAACAAGCAGAGGTCGGAACAGAGTCGGGGGTGCAGGCGAGCAACTGAGGGGTGGGTGGAGATAGAAGTGGAGATGAGTTTTTAGGGTTTTTAATCAGTGTCAGGGGAAGAACTTTAATCTCATCAAAATGTGGCTTCAGTGAGAGAGAGAAGAAAGTGTTTTCAAATGTGGTGTCTATGACTTAAAACTGTGGTTGCAATGATACATTTCTATGTGCACACACTCTTTCAAACACACACACACACACTCACAGCATGATGAGGATGAAGTCACCGTGTGCTCATGTGTCTCGTCTCTAGGCCTTTAAAGTGAGGGGCACTGCTGCTTCTGTCACCACCTTCCTGATGAAAACTCTCACAAACACGCTCGGGTCATATGACGACACTGCTGCTCCGAAACAGACACACACACACACACACACACACTCACACAGCTGAGAAAAACTCCCACAGCACTGACTTCACGTTGTCAAAAAGAGCGTGAAACAACACAATCAGAGTTCATATTTTATTTGTACTTTTTAAAATTTTACAAAACCTGAAGAGAAAAGATGTAAACATCCAAACTGATATGTAAACCTGACTTGTAGGGGCAGAGGATAAAACTTTCAGGCCCTGAGTTTATTGAGTAATTCAAAGGGAAAGGACACAGAAAGACCAGTCAGGACAAACCTGAAGCTCAAAAATCATTTGATAAGTGTCGTTCACCTCCAACTGCTGCCGGTCTCTATCGTCTCACAGCCGAGGCTTGATCTGCAGCTTCTTCTCTGTGTAAGAAAAAGAAACACAGGAAATTAAAATGACAAAAAAGTGTGTGTGTGTGTGTGTGTGTGTTCTTTTGTGCGTAACCGACTCTGATCTGCTGCGTGTTGAATCCTGCTGAAACGCTGAGTGATGACATCGCAGCTGATGAGTAAATGAGGAAGAGAGCAGGACAACAGGGATGGATGAAGGCGTGTGAGCAGGAAATGCTCGAGTGTGTGTGTGTGAGTTTGCAGTGTGGCAGTGATACATTGCATCAGGGCTAATTTATGCAAAGTGAAGAGGAGCTCGTTTGGCTGAGTTCCACCTTTAATGAGGCTCTGGGCGGTGCGGTGTGTTAGTGAGCGACCAGAGTGTCATTAGTAATACTTAAGAGCACAAAGCAACTGGACAGAGCGGGGTGGAGAGACGAGGAAATCATCACTGGATCACATGTGAATGTGTATGTGTTGTGAGTGTGTTTGGACACAGTGCAGCTGAACTGTTTCACTGAGTGACATATTTATTACAGTAGACACAACAGTGTGAATCCTCGCCACGGAACCACACTCTGACGTCTGCTCTTCAGACAACGAAAACCGCCCTCGAGGAGATGTTGTCTAAAGTCGTCTAAGGTGAGGTGTGTGCAACGCAGCTGCTGCTCAACACCAAAGTTTAGACTGTTTATTAATGTGTGCAACACATCTGTCCATCCCACAAATGTAGAGACAAAAAACACACAAAGATGTACAGAAACTTAAAACACACCTACTCCAACAAAAACTGTTCATCAGGTAAAATAGACATTAAAGCAATTTTTTTTTTTTCAGGTTATTTTACTTTTTATTTTATTGTTTTATCTGTGTAAAATCAAAAATTCAATATGAATGACAAAAGAGAATTTGTAGGTCAAAACCGAGTATGTGGCTGGACTGCCTATGGTCAAATCCTCATGTTATAACTGCGATGTCGTCTGACAAAATCAGCAACACATAAATGAAAGACCAAGAATGAGCTGTGATTTCAGCTGTATTTACTTATAAAATGATCACTCAGAGAGAAAGTTAGGAGAGACAGACTATCTTTCTCTTTTCAGGCTTTTGCCTTTATTACGGTAAAGTAGTAGAAAGACGGGAAAACTGGAGAGAAAGGGAGGATGACTCGCAGCAAAGGGCCACAAGCCGGACAGGAACCCGGGCTGCCGGGGTAAAGACTAAGCCCAAATAGCATGAGGTCCACGTGGGGGAACCACCGGGGTCCAAGACACTGTCTTTCTTATTGTGCCTCTCACACAGCTCACAGCTTCAGTCTGGGATCCACAATAGTTCAGTCTTTACTTACTTCAACTCCAGAATAACAGACTTTTAATAGAGGCAGGTCTGTGTGTCTAACTCCCTCTGTTTGATATGTAGAGTTGGTCATAGTCATTAGTACGAAACCTTGTTACCGATGACTTCTCTCTCTCCCTCCCTCTCCCCTTCTCTCTGTGCTCAGTGCTTATGTTAATTTATTCCTCTGCCTGCTTTAGTAATAATGATACATGTAATGAAAGTAGTTTATTTGCTGTAATGGAGGCGAGGCTCAGTGTATTAGAAGTGCTCCTCCACTTCCCTGCAGTTCCTGAGCAGCAGGGAAACCAGAGCAGCTCGGTAGACTGTGGTTCGGCAGTCCGCTGAGCAGTGGTGGAAATATCATCACTCAGTCAGTCAGTCAGCAAAATTTGCAATTATAGCGCTGGCCCGGCTTTTGCGGTCCAGCCAAAAACTGCAATCGAGTTGTGTAAAGTTGTCTAATGTGAAGTGTGTGCAACGCAGCTGCTGCTCAACATCAAAGTTTAGACCGTTTCTGGATGTGTGCAACACTACTGTCCATCCCACAAACATATAACACACATGTACAGAAAACTTCTAGATATTTGGGCTGTTCATCAGGTAAAACAGACAATAAAATAAAGTCACCCATATTGAATTTTCCATTTTACTCAGAGGAAACGATAAAATAAAGAGTACAATAACATAAAAGAGAGAATTTGTATCAAAAAAGAGAGAAACTGTTTGTTAATGTGTTGCATGATAAGAAGGGGTGAACACAGGTGTTAAAGCCAGTCAAATGTTGAGTGGCAGTGGAAACCAGCATGCTTGTGTGTGTGAGTGTGTATGTGTGTGTGTGCGTGTGTCCAGTAGGCAGGGGCAGGTGGATGGTGGAGCCTCATGGGAGGGTGAGGAGGAGGGGCGGGGGGGGGGGAATGAGAGGGATCGGGGGAGGGCAGCCTCTCTCCTAATCCTCTATCTGTCAAGTCTGTCAACAGAGAGCTCAGCTGTGCGTCTGTCCAGCCCAAAACCTAAATATTATTACCTCTGTGCTCTGAGCATTATTACTCCTCCCCTGAGTATCATCACACTCACTCCACAGGCCGGCTCTGATCATCATTATCTGTCTGCAGCTTAGACCCCCCCCCCCTCTCGCATGAACTGAGGAATGATCCTGTGCCATTCATGACAAACAAGAGCCTTCTAAAAACCATCTTCGGACAGTATCTCTGACTCTCAGCACTTTTACATTAACTAAAGCACAGTTAGTCAGTTATCTTTTTTTATAACCTGGATGTAATTTACCTTGTTTCCACCTTCATTCATATGAATTTACACATTTTACTCACCAAATGTGGAGACTGTAAATGAAGAGCATCGTTTTGGTAATTTACATGTGAGAAGATGTCGGGGTTAAAAATGGGCTCAATTTGGCGTCCTGTGGATATCTGATACTGTAAATCACAGTTTCAACAGCGTGAGACAGGTTCTAACTATGCAATAAAATCTAGTTATAAATGCTTTTGTAAAAGTCATACGTAACTTAAACATGTGTAAAAAATGTTCAATTTTCAAGCAAATTCAGACAATTTCAACCAGGACATCTCTGTTGACGTGCAAATCACCAAAAAAGAACTCTTCCTGGCCACTGTAACTCAGGTCGGTTTTCACACTTTGTCAGTTTCATGTCACATGGAGATGTTTGTGTAACACTGCCGGTCCCTCTGCGTTGGTCTGTGCTTGCTGGGTTATGCGTTTTGTTACCTTTAACCTGTGAGGCCTCGGCTGGAAGCGTGTCCGGTGCGTCTGCCTCCTCTGGGGAGCTGGAGAGGGAGATGAAGGACGGCAGCTCCAGAGGACCCGCGGTGGGCGTCCCTGGAGCTGCCTGAGGGCCGTGTGGCATGACAACAGACAGGCGAGGTCTGCAAGAGAGTGTAAACATGATCCATGATGAGCCAGGATCAAACACAACCAAAGTTTCATTACTGTGAGTAGATGATGATTTGTATCAGTCATGATTTAAATCTGTACAATCTCTTCTCACCTCTTGCAGGGCTCCTTGGTTCGGCCTCTCTTGGCCGGTGTGGTGGAGGTGTTGCTGCCGCTTCGTTTGGCTTGTTGTCGGTGCTGCAGCTTGCAGCGGGTTCCTCGGGGGCAGGAGCCGGTCTTAGAGAAGTCTGGACACACCAGAGTATGTTTCTTCTTGCACTGGTGGGTAGAGACACAGACCACAGATCATACATGAAGACAGTCACAACTGCTAATACAGACACAAACTGACATGGGTGGATCTGCCTCTGTGAATGTATGTACATCTCATATGAAGAGGATGTTCCATTAAAGGCAGATGCAGAGAAAAAGGACTCAGCTGCAAAAGTCTGTCATATTGTGTGGAATTGTTTTTTAATGGCAGCCACAGTTTTACCTTGTGAGTAACAGGGAAACTAAAGTGATTCCAGAAAGCCCACAGTGTGAGACCATTGGTCACATTCTGTAAGCTTTTATTATATAACATACACAAAGCACAAAGAGCATCAAAAAGGAAACTTTTGGACAAAAAAAAACAAACAAAAAAAAAAACTCCTCCTCTGACATAGTTGATACACCATAAGCTGCATATGGGTGTAGCTTCCATTCTAATCTTTATTTCAAATACACAGTACATGATCTAGTTTAGGGAGTACCAAAAACTTGCAGTGAATATCTGGTCATATTTATAATCTTGGTTGCGTCTGATTTGACTTAAAACTTTTCAGACAATTAATTTTATGTATGTAAAACTCTTAACATTCAAGAACTTTGTTTTGTTTTTGTATGGTATGTGTTAAAACGGCAAACATTAAAATAGGGCTGCAAAATTAATCAAAATTGCAATATGGCCAAGTGCAATATCCAAATCCAAGAAGCTGCAAAAAAAAAAAAAAAATTGCAGTAGCTGCAGCTTCTTGATAAAGGTAAAATGTTTCACATTGTTGTGCACTGTTAGCACCGTAAGCGTTGTGGTGCTACAGAGACGCCCTGACCTACAAATCCTATCCTGCAGATGTAAAGGTTTGTTTTGTTTTTTTTTATAAAGCTGACAGATGCTTTCGGTTCACAGGGCCAGTTAAATGTGGTGGTGGTCCTTTACATTTACAGGCCATGTCCTTCTCTTATGGGAGTCACTGCTTTCATGTGTTCATGGACGTACAGTTAGCAACATTTAACAGGACCAGGTACAAACAACAGTGTTCCTCATATTCAAAGACGGTAGAGCCTCTTTAAATTTAACCCTGGTCCATGAACACAGAGGAAATCCAGTAACTTTCACCAGGTCACAGAACATGACCGGTTTGAAGGGGAGGAAAAGCAGATGTTTTTTTTTTTTTTGTTCTACAAGTACCTCAAACCTAATTAGGCTGTTGATTTGTTTCGTTCCGTTGTTCTGTCCACTCTTTTTTAAGTTACCACTTAACACTGAGACACTCAGCCTCTCCTTTAATGTGCAAGTTGAGCAAGTGCGTCAGAGTTAGCGTCATTCTGAGGAGCATTGTGCATGAGCACGCAAGCTTTCACATGCATGTTTGCAACTGAGTGTGTATGACAGTGTAATACGGGTGTAAATTGGTAGCTTCATTCTCCACGAGATTCGATCCCTCCCACCTGTCAGAGAAGCTAATTATATTCACTCTGGGGTGCAGGCTGCAAGGAGTGTGTGTGTGTCTGTGTGTGTGCAGGGGTGAGGAGTGCGGGACTGGGAAGCAGATTGGTCCTGAAATAGAGTGTGCAGTGGGGGACGTGTGTGTGCGTGTGTGTGTGTGTGTGTGTGTGTGTGTGTGTTAGAGGGATCTTGAGATCAATTTTCCAGGAACGCTGTGGACTCTTGGTCAACTCTACCTCAAGCCCAGCGGCCCTGACTTTCTGCCATCAGAGGCCCCCCCCCCCACACACACACACACACACACAAACTCACACCCATGTTCATGCGCCCCTTGGTGCCAGGGCGGCCCCGGATCAGCTCGCTGTCAAATGTTTCTCTGGATCATCTTATAGGGCTGCGGTTTTGACACACATTTCGATCAACAAATCAGACCTGACACCAGTGTCACTGATGCCCAGGGTTTTATCTTCAGAGTATGACATCACCACTGACCCCATCAGGTTCTGTCGTACCATCAATCGTGATACATGATTTTATGGCTGCAACAAACTTATTTAAGTAAAAAAAATATTACTAATATAATACTTAAAATGATTTTTAATGATTAATTGATTAACCTATTCTATAAAAATGTCAGAGAAAAGTGAAAAAATGTTTGTTCCCAGAGCCATGACATCTTCAAAAGACTTATTTTTGATCTGTTGTCATGACGTTTAAGGTGCAATATCCCGAGTTTGAGTCTTAAACTTTTGTTGCTCCTCTGGCTACCATCATCTCCTGTGCACTCTCTACTGTCACTACTAAAAACCAAATAAAAATACAGTCCAAGGCCAAAAGGCATAAAACAATGAAACACAGAAGACTGACTCAAAAAGCTTGTTTCAGGGCTATGGGTGTTTGTTGTCTAAATGAACCTGATTTCCTCCAGTATGATTTCTGAAAACAGTGACAGTACCAGTAGACTTTTCATCTCCATCCGGGCTGCACAGTGAGGCTGATGATAACCACGATCCTCACCTACCTGCCGGTAAACTGCCTGAACAATCACAGATTTTTTCTTCATGTTCTCTAAATTAACAGCTCTTTGCTTCCCGTACTGTCGGTATAGAGCAGGCCCGAGCTTTTTACTTTACAGCAACGTGCACGTGTCACTGCATTTTCAGTCAGAGTCCCATTTTAGTCACTGTAGATGCAGCGTATAGCTTTTTGATTGAAAGATTTTTCTACATTTAAAATGTTTGAGTGGAAAAAAAAAAGGATTTTGATCTTAAAGTTGGTTTATAACATTGGATAAAAATGTGACAACATTTTAACAACAATCACAGAGTTCACAGAGAATCACACAGTGCGGGAAACCCTGAGTAAGTCCTAATTACTATGCTGTCTAATGTTATGTAATTTGACAGGAAACGCTGCACAAAATACATGATAAAGTCCACCTGGTGATCATCATGATGTTCACTTGTCAGAGCTGACAGAGAAATCAAAAACATAACTTCTAAAAAGGTGCCATCACTCATCACAGAGTTCACATCTGGAGACGAGTGTGATGGGACAACAAGAGTTAAAGCTGAAGCACTTTACCAGCATGAGAAACAGAGTGTCCGAGAAATTGACTGTAAGAGCTGCGTCCACTCACCACAGCTCCATACATCCTCATTTTCATAAAAAGAGAGAGAGAGGGAGAGAGGGAGGGAGAGAGAGAGAGAGAGAGAGAGATGGGAAATGGGAGAAAAAAGCTAAAGTGGACAGAACATCTTTATCCTACACCAAGTTAACAATTTTCCACTTGATTTAAGGAATGCTGGGACGTCTCTGGGGCCTATTAGAGAGCTCTCTGCAGGGCCAAAACCAGGAGGAGTCAGCACATTTACCAAGAGACTGAGAGAGGTAGCAAAAAAAAAAAAAGAGCAGGGAGGGTGGGAGTTGGAAAAGACAGTAAAATAAAAAAAGAGAGGGACATCACATGCATTTTCATCTCGGCCATTAAGCCGACACTCATCTGGAGCAATTTACAGTGAGTGGAACAGGTTGATAGATTATTCAGATTACAATACAAGGAAGAAAACAGTGAGAAAAATGGAGGTTCACAGTGTAACTAGACTTTAGGCAGCGATCACATCGATATTAGCAATACATAAAAAAACACAGCTTCCTAATTCATTTAAATGAGATCACTGTGTTGACAAAGTGGAGGGGCCAATGCAGAGAGCTTTAGTGGGACGTCCTGTTGCATCATGTTGAGGTAAAAACTGAGCCAGGTTCAGCTCTTTTGCTGCTACACGATGCAGCATTGGAATTGAAATTCTTTCGTAATTATTATTGTTCAGTCATCTATGTGCAAGCAAACATTCCTGGTAGATAACTTGTAAATCACATAACCACTGTGCAGTGTTCGGGTGTATGATAAGCCTTCACACACAAAGATGTATGACTCACACTGGACTTCCTGGGCCGTGTAATGTAGCAGCACCAACACAGACCTTTGAGTTTGAACAAAGTCAAGTCTCAGTGTCACTGGACTCTTCAGGTTTAAGACAGAAAAGAAAAAGAGAAAGAAAAAGTTGTTGTTTTGTTTAAGCTTTGACTGAGGCCCGAATGATAGGGCTTCATCACCAGAAGCACAAGTTCAACACTGTGCAGAGAAAAGACATTACTCTGCATGAGTACACACTACGCTGATCTTTCCCTCAGGCTGTGCGGCAAAAGTTCAGCTTCACTGAACTTTGATCCGAAATTTTCTGGCCTCCACAAGACGCATTCAGTGAGACTGTGTCATTGACAGGACAGGAAGTAAATCACAGTAGTTATACACACCACTTTAGTGGGACACTGTATGTGAAGTCAAAGGAACATCGCAGAGAGAAGAACGAGAAAAATCTGTTTGGTCACAGACTTGAAGTACAAATTGATAATATATCTTGTAATATATAAATGTAATGAGCACTGTAACGTTTTGCTTTACGCTGGTTCTTTTTTGCTTGTGGAAAAAGAAAGAAACGGCAGAGGTGAAAAATGAGGAGAGACTGCATTAAAAAGGATCAATTCACTGATTCATTACACTAAACAGTTGATCAGACAGCTCTCTGTTACCGACTGGCACAGACGTAGCTTCAACATGCTGAATCGGCCAAAAGGCCATTAATAAAAGCCAACAGAAGTTAACTATAGCCAAACTTCCTTCCAAAAGCTACGGATGATAGTGGTTGGTTTAATGTGTGAGGAACCTGGGAGGAGAGGGACCTGATGCAGGAGCCACATCTGAATGATTACATACAGCTTTGAATTGATGCTATGGAGTCAAGAAACAAGAGGGACAATTAGGAGAGAACAGACAGACTCTGTGAGGTGGAGGGTGAGACAAAGCCAGGATGAGGCAGGATGGCAGCAAGTCTGAGAGGAGGAGGAGGAGGATGGAGGATGGAGGATGGAGGATGGAGGATGGAGGATGGAGGCGAGGAGCAGACTTAACCCCTGAGCTGCTGGAGTGTCTGCCTGCCTGGCCCATAGTGCCATCCTCAGCAGTTTTCCCATCTATAATTACTGCCTGCTATCCATCATAGAGCCGCCAGAGCCTCACAGTGCTGCGCTCCATAAACACACACACATGCACTCAGGCGCAAATACACTCTCTCTCACACGCACATACACACACACACGCACGCACGTACGTACACACACACACAAACACACAAACACACACGGGGAAAAAAAAAAATCACAGACCTAAGCACTTCAGCTAATAGAATAAATATTAATATCCCTTTTGTTTTCTATATCCTCATTTCACCATGCACTATTTAAATGAGGTCTGACAGTGTGAAAAAGCATCTGTTTCACACTCGACATTCGAAAACAAGCAGGGAGACGAGGGGGGTGGGGGGACGACAAAGGGAGGCAAAGACAGAGGAAGGGGGGGCACTGGAGGGTGTGTTTAAGGTGGACATTGGGACAGCGTGTGTGTGTGGAGGAGGGGGGAGGGGGGTGGCTGGTGGGCTTGAGTGTCATGTGTAAGTGGCTCTCTGTTACCCATCAGGCCCTCAATGTGTCACTCAGACACTACAGTTATGCCATTATGGACCGCCACCCGCTGCAGCTGTTCCTGCCTGTGTGTCACTGTGTACATGTGTGTGTGTGCGGTGGGCATTGGTTACCAAACTACTTGTTTACCTAAGCCTCAGTTTAACTCCAGTGGAACTGTACACACACGATGTACAACATAATTGTACGTTCAAATGAAGAGAACAGCTGAAAGGACAAACAGGTAATAGTGTCAGTGCAGCGCTAAATTAAAATGTAGTAACATTAAAGAAACATGAAGTCGCTGACAGTTTATTACAAGATTCACATCTATTATTTCAACTCTATTCAGACTGACACAGTGATGCAGATTAAATCTGTGCTGGTGGTCGATCTGAATGGGTAAACAAACATCAGCTGATCAGTGTCCACGACCCTCGTCTGACCTGGTTTGAACATGAGTCAGATACGGCCTGACCTCCCTGAACAGGTGTCTTTACTTCATCTAAAGATATTGATGTTTGAATGTCATTTAACTGACCCCCCGAAGAGAGAGAGAGACAGAGGGAGTGTGCAGAATGATGAGCGAGCACAAAATAGTAACAGTGAGCAAACAAGAAAGGTCTAAAGAGAAACTTGTAGATGTTGTATATAGGGCTATGCTACTAATCAAAATATAATCACAATTGCAATATGGCAAAGTGCAATATCCAAATTGCAAGAGATGCATTTTTTTTTTTTTTGATAAAAGGTAAAATGTGTCACATTGATGTGCATTGTTAGCACCATAAGCATTGTGGTGCTACAGAGACACCCCAGCCTACAAATCATATTCTCCAGACGTAAAGGAATGTTTTTTTTTGTTTTTATATTTTTATGCATATATCCCAGCGCTGCACACCCAATTGCCCCATTGGGGACAATTAAAGTAATTGATTGACTGATTGAAAAAGTTCTTTGCGATCAGTATTTTAGCCATGCAACTTGTAGACCTGCAGCTGCAGACATGAGTCTGTGAATACGGACAACCAGAGGTTACCCTGTGACTCCCTCTTACGCAGGTTTATTCAGAAGACCAGTGTTAAATGCACTTCTGCAGTCTGACAGAGGTTTGAAGAACCTCACCTGTGTTGGCGTTGCCACACGTGCTGTCACAGAATAGACCACAGCTCTATTCTCCACTGTCAGCACTGATCAACACTCCACAAAACCATTATTTCCACAAGGATACTGTAATTTCTCTACTTCTTGTCATGTCTGATGATCTTTAGCTGTGCAGCTGGACAAGGAGAAACTTATATTTTAGGTTTAAAAATATCAGGAGCTCAATGCGCTGCAGTCACTGCCACTTGAAGAAAACATTTAAAAAGAGATCTGAGCCATGGCTGCAGACACCGACTTTTCAGAATCACAGAATCAAGTGACACAAATTCACTGTATCCTTCATATTACACTTCATCCTGCACTGTGATGTCTGAGATGTTGCAGCACATTAGGTGTGTGTTACAGGTGTTTGTTATAGCCAATGATTGCACACAACTAGAATTTCTTTGTCAAACATCTGACCTGCTCCAGCTTTGCTTTAATTTTATCATTTATACTCACTGTAAATCTTTGTTGCTCTGTGTGTGTTTTGTTGGCTTGGTTGTGTATTTGCTTCTGCTCTGTTCATATGGGGGTGATGCATGGATGGTGGAATTGAAAATTTGTGTTGTGTTCACATTCATGTTATTTGATTTCATAAACAAAAGAAATAGAGGCTTGGTTATGGGCTGAATATGAAATAGCTGATACTGTCAAATATACTCTGAAGCTCTCTCTCAGATGTCTTTCGTGTGTTTGTGTATTTTTACCTTCTCTCCCTCGGGACAGTAGCCTTTCACAAAGTCTTCGCACACCTCAGCTTTGCGGGACACGTAGACGTGACTGTAGGGACAGTCGCTGTTGCTACAGATTCCCTTCAGGAAGTAAGAGCACACCGGCATCTGGAGAGAGTCAGACACAAATATGTAAAACATCTGAACCAGAGAAAATGGTGGTTCATGGTGTCTGACACAGACGAGGTAAAAGATATTCAATCAAACATTTAAAAAATTCTGCAACATAAAACATTTAATCAGAACACAGACTAACACAAGAGACATTGGTTTTGTTGTGTCAAAATATAATGACTCATCTGACTTGTTGCTGGGATATTCCAGGACCGTCCAAAACTCCCAGATTATTGGCAAAATGTCCAAAAAGAGATTAAATTGACTTTGAGAATCAATCTGACGCTGACTAAATTAAGCACTTTTGATTCTTGGCATTATTCCTGAAAACATATTAGACAATAAGTTGAGGTGTTTGTCAAAGATGTGCTTGTGATAGCAAAAAAAGAAGCCTCCTGGTTGACACTTCAGCATATAACAATAGAGGGTTTTGGTGATTTATGTGTTAGAAAAGAAGATAAAAACAGTGTTTATTTTTTTTTCCGCCTTTAAAACAATTTTTTAAAATCTATTTTCTTCTGTTCACCGTCGAGATCATGTGAAAAAAAAGAGAGAAAAACGTAAATAAAGACAACAACACCACAGACAGGAAGAGAGCGGACGTGATGAGAGCATGAGATTACATGAGATTATACGAGTTTGTAAACAGACGTGCGGTTCTAAAACCAAACTGCTGTCATGTACAGATCAGACGTGTCCCGTGTGCCAAGCGATCTGTCACACTAAGCAGCTAAATGACCTTAATTGCAGTTGACAGCGGCAGAGTGAGAGTGAATGTGTGTCTTGACAGCATGTGTGTGTGTGTGTATGTATGTGTGTGTGTGTGTGTGTGCAGCTAGATCTACTGTTTGGCGTGCAGGGGTGAGCCTGGTGGAGGCCGGTCTAAATATACCTCTGAGAGGGGGGTTCAGTGGGCATAGATCAGGGTAGGGAGGGGTGTGGGAGGCGGAGTGTGAGAGGGACTCCACCTCGTTGGGATGAGATCAGTTCTACCTAATTAACTGCTACAGAAATATTTATCCAGGCTGCAGCTTGTCCAGCTCTCATGATGTGTTTATGTGCTTTGGATGTGTGCACAGACCAGGCCAGTGCTGGAAGGGGGATACCTGGGGGGGGTGGTAGGCTCAGGGGTGTCTGGTTTCGAGGTATTTGTGGTAGTGGGGGAACAGGAGGGTGGAGTGTAGGATTCAAGATTCGGGCTCGCTGTACGCACTAGAGCCCAGATCAGGTTCGGAAGTCTGCTGGGTGTATAACCCTGCAGCCCCCCTTCTCTCCAAAACCCCCGTACAGTCCTGTTTAAGGGGTCCACATGAAATAAGAGCGGTGTATCCGGTGGAGGGAGGGGCCAAAGGTTTGGGGGTTAGGGGTGGGGGTGGAGGGGCTGTTGGAGAGGTGGCATTACAAACAGACAGCTGGGCTCTCAGCACTTACAGGCAGCAGTGTGACAACCAACACAGGTGCAGGGCATTGTGTGTGTTCGTGTGTGTGTGTGTGTGTGTGTGTGTGTGTGTGTGTGTGTGTGTGTGTGTGTATGTGTGTGTGTGTGTGTGTGTGTGGTGAGGCAAGGCACCTGTTGGAGGGTTGTTTTCTCTCAAGTAAAAAAAGAAAAAGAAGGAAAAAACAGCTTTCCCTTTTTGAATGGCTACACTTTCCCTTAGACGGGCAAGAGAACACACACACACACACACACACACACACACACACACACACACACACACACACACACACCACCACACACACACACACCACACACACCACACACACACACAACACACACACACACACACAACACCACACAGCCACACACACACCAAAAAAAAATTTCCACTAATACGCCAAAATGATCTATTTAATGGAATCCAAAAACGTCTAAGAGGAAGTGGAGTGAGAATGACCTCAAATCTGTATGAAGAGAAACGATCAGATTAACCTTTATATCATTATGTCTTGTTTTACTTCATTGACTGTCTCATGTTGGTTCACGTCTGATGTGTGTCTGTTTAAATTACAACCAGTTAAATATACTGGGCTGCTGGCTGAGATTCATAATGTCTGTAACTCAATAAACTGGATTTACTGCTGGAGTTGAGTTTGGCCTGTGTGATAACTCGATATCACAACTTTGGTAGAATCACACTGAGACAACAATATTCATTGAAAAAAAAAAAAAAAATCAAGTTGAAAACTGAAACCAACAAAATGAGTTGGTAAAGTTCTTGTTTTGTCACAACAGGAATATGGCTCATTGAACTGACCTTCAGATGATTTTAGATGTCATTTTAAATACATTCCCACCCAGTGTGTTTATTGTTGCTGAGCTACAGCTTTTCAACCAGCCTGTGAAGCCAAAGGCAAATTTCCACACCTGTGGATAATAAAGATTATTATTAATTAAATGGGAAAGTGTGTCCAAACCTTTGACTGGTACTGTATATATATATGTATCTTATTAATATTTTCAGAGCTGCAACTATCACATATTTTTGTATTAATTAACTGATTAAACATATAGTCATTTGTGAAAAACTGGAAATTGTGATTAAACATATATTCAATATTTAATCAATTATCAAATTTGTTGTTGAAAAATTTTCTGTGCATTGACTAAATATTATGCTATTAATTTCAGCCATAAGATCTAGTCCTCAGGTGACTGAGTTGCTGTTGCTCGTGAGCAGGATAAGACCTCTGATCACAGGTCTGAGGTGAGGATCGTGCTTCACTTTTCTGTATGTGCAAACCAGAGCAGACCTGTGCTAAACTCACCTATTTGAGGGAAGAAAAAAAAAAAAGAAAAAGAAAAATCAATCATAACAAATGTCTTCCCACTGGTCTGTGTATCCATCAGAACCTTTAGGCTGCTTGTTTACCCATAAGCCTCTCCCTGAATGTCCCATCAGGTTAAGTCTTTCTCACTCCTTCCTGTGTCATGGAAACAGGAGCCATGCCAAGAAGGCAAACACGATACACGATGATTGTACGCACTGTACTCAACCCTGGCCTTTGCAATGAAAACCCATAAAACACTATGTTGTCCAACATCTAGGGCCTGTGTGCGAGCGAGTGCGAGTTTGTTACCTTCTCCTTCGCCACCTTATGGGAGAATGGGCAGGTCCCGTCCGCCTGCTTGCACGTCCCTCGCAGAAACCTGCACAACAACAAACAACAACAACAAGCCTGAAAGCAGACACGCTAATAAAGCGGTAAAGTGGGATGAGCTGCTGGTTCTGAAAATAATTTTTCCACACAACAAATTCCAGTTTGGCAGTTTATTCTAATGACATCCTCCATGTTTCGTCAACACGTAAACACAGGAATCTTCTGGACAGTGTGTTGACATGTAGTTTTTGATATGTATTGATGTATTTTCCATCAGTTTTCTGTGGCAACAGGCTCTAAAATACTACAATACTTATGCGTCTCTGGTGCAGTTGCTATAGAGAAGAAGCCAACCAGCATTGCTTTGCTCTTGCAGTTAGAACTGACACTGTCATGGTTTGTGTATGAATCCAAAACTGACCCAGAAACTGAAAGTGTACTGATTTTAACTGCTGAACGTTTTATTAGTGTAATCTTTAGCTTCAGTTTGCTGTTAGTGGCACATGCAACAGGATGTGATTTTGTGACTGGATGATAGATATGCCCCTTTCTGTACTTAATCAAACAGGGGAGTTTCATGTCCATCTGAGCTTTGTTAGTGCTTGTATCTGGACTTTTACATCTGGGACCTTAGAAAAACCAAGGAGCTGGTGGTGGACTTCTGCAGGCACAAACACTCTCCACTCACAGTAACGGGCTGCTGCACCGCAGGTCTTTCCTTCCTGCTGCCGTCAGACTGTACAACAAACACTCTACTCAGTAGATCACACACACCAGGAACTGACAGACTCACCATGTGCAATAATGAGCAATAAGTAACACACACCATCCGTGCAATATACCTCATATGCTGCTATTTTGTAAACTTTTGTAAATACCTATTGTATATATTATATTATTATCTATTATTTATCTTTCTAAATATTTACAACTGGCACTTTGAGGTTTTTCTTTCTTGCACTGTCCACTTTGCTTCTGTGACACTGCAAATTTCCCCACTCAGTGTTGGAGCAATAACGGAATATCTTATCTTATCTAATCTTATCTTATCTTAGATGCCTTAACCACCACTTCACTACTATCAGATGTTCAACGGGTAAACTGGCAAGAGAGGAAGATTTTCTCTCTTTACTGAGGATCAAGCATTTAAGTATTAACTGATCCCCCTTTAATATGACACTGTGTGTTCACGTTACCTTGTGCAGACGGCCACCTTGTCTGGGTCATGTATGTAGGGACAATTGTTGCCGCGGTTACACTTGCCGAAGCGGTTGTAGTACATGCAGTACTGCTTCTGCTGCTTCTTCTGGCGAGCGTGTCTGATTATGGCGAGGCTCCGCTGAACCGCACGACTTGATTCAGAAAACACAGACAAACATGACAAACACACACAGGTTTCCACAAATCAATAATCAGCAGCCTGTTGTGGCTAAACAGGACAGACTAAGCCAGGAGTTTCAACTCTCAGCCCTATGAGGGGCTTTGGGTATATAGGTATCCTCCATATGCTAATTTTAATTTTAAGATTACTTTTGGCTTTGCAGCTCTCAGCAGAGAGTGATGAAAGGCAGTTAATATTGAGGGAGAGAGAGAGGAGGATCAAATGCAACAGTCTTGGCTGGATTTGATTTCAAGATGGGGCTGTTGTATGATGAGAGCCAGCAGGATGGCCCACATATAAATGCGGTTAATTAAAAAGCTTACAAGTTGGATATGTGTGCAGAAACGTAGACACGAGAGTGCTTCTGCTGAGAAGAGATGAAACAGGTTGTGAGAAGCCTACCTGGCTAAGTGTCGAGTGCTGGAGGGTCGGTTCCAAGCAGGAATCATGGGTGAGACGTGGGGGCTGGAGGACCTTCCTGAAAGTGGAGGAAAGAGACAAACTAGTCAATGTAAAGGTGTTTGTCACATATACAGCTCATTTTTTCTCTTTCTATTTTCCCCTGAATGTTTATTGACACTAATAATTATCATATTTTTTCGTTTTGGTTTATTTTTTCATTAACNAACTAGTCAATGTAAAGGTGTTTGTCACATATACAGCTCAATCATCTCCAAAAACATAACAAAGGATCAGTCAGGAACTAAAAATCCTAAAATTGAGAAAAAAAAAAATGGTATAGATCATTTTTGCTCTTTCTATTTTCCCCTGAATATTTATTGACACTAATAATGATCATATTTTTTCGTTTTGGTTTATTTTTTCATTAAGCTATCAATAATCATCATTAAAATTAAACCAGTGCCTCTGGTACCCACTTCAATATCTGTGGATGGCACACACGTTTGCAGAGGAGATGTATGAAGTATGAAAGGAAGCATATTGAGCACAGTTGAACATTTACAGTATGATATAATCTACGGACATTTTTGTTTCTTACTTGTAAATAGTTTACACTCTGCCCATGTTTTCAATGACGAAATGATACAATATCACGAGGACTAATGTTTCACCAATGTGAAATGTTTCCACTATATTACAAGCTAATAGTTTAGCATGGTGCTAACACACTGAAGTGGAAGTCGGTTTCTGTCTTTCTTCTGATTTATTCATCATTTTTTAAATGTATTCATCTTACATTTTTTTAATGGTGTGATATTACATACATCTTTCCTAAATTAAATTAAAAAATACTATTATAGCTGTCTGAGTGTGTGTTTGTGCAGCCAGATGCAATAACAACCTGATATGTGACTGGTTATTTATACTGTGGTGGTTTGACGTGTAGGTGCCAAAGCCAAAGGTGACGTGCAGCTCTGTCTGACAACATCATAAACACTGTGGACCCAATGCACTCCGCAAACACTGGAGGGAAAGGTGCATGTGTGTCTGTGTGTGTGCGTGTGTATGTGTGTAGAGTTGTTGGAGGCCATGAATAGGAGCGAAGAAGAAGACAGGGAGGTGAGGAGGTCGGCGTTACAGATGACGGTTGACCTCTAATTTTGGAAGAGTTTCGACGTTTCACGCTGTGGTGTGATTTAAGCGCAGCAGGATTTCAGGCCAGTGGCTCCGGACCAAGAACAAATGTGAAGCTCTGCAGTGGAAGATATGAAATCAAAACTCCTGCAGAGAGGACACCTGAGGCTCGTTTCTGGAGGATGCAGGAATGCGTGTGTTGGGATGCCGGTCACGAGTTTAACAGAGTGGAGCTCTTCAATTTCTCCTGCAGGTGTAGTTGCTGCAGAGTGGGTATAAGAGAGAAGTGTGGAGGAAGGAGGTAGAGGAGCAGATCCAGGCTTTAATCTGCACCGTCCAGTTCTCCAGACCCTCCCCCTCGCTGCTCTGACAGATGACAACTTTATTATTTCAGATGGCAAATCCAGCCAGCTCTACTAAGTCCATTAGAGAGCATGTGGACAGAGCTGCAGCCACAAACATGAATTAACACCCTTGTATCACCTCCGGCTGCACACAGATTTACTGCCCTGTACTCGCAAGGCATGTCCTGAATAGGGCAGGGTATTGAACCTCAGTACCTTTTTAGCACTGACTGAAATGTGCCTGAGCACAAACTATCAAAAACCATTAAGGATCAGATGCTAATATTAAATGACTGGTTAGATTCAAACTGTTCAAATGATACCCAGCTTTAGTCTTGCATATACAAACTTGAGATGTACTTGAGTGCTCTGCCCAATAACCTTTCACCCCTTTGATCTCATTTGAATTACTGCGCATATATTGGCTGATTCAAGTTCAAAACCACGATAGATTTCAACACGTGCACTATAAATGAAGAAAATAATTATGTACATTCAGACTCAGTCAGTTACATTCATCTGTAAACTCTGGGAGGTAAAAATATAAATACAACCTCTTCTTAACAGTTGATAAAAGACTGGACCCTCCTTTAATGAATGAAGCATTTCGACAGTGACTCAGCAGCTCCAGTATTATCGAGTAAAACTCAGCTCTTCACATTTTTCTCCAGCTCAGAAGCAACAGATTCATTAAAACTTGACAGTTAAGTTTTGTTTTGTCGAATGAATTTTCCCAAGATGTTAAAAAAGAAAGACAAAACATACAGACTCAATGTTAAAGATGTGTAACAAGTTGTTTGAATAACAGATTTAGGGTATGTTGAGTACGTTTTATCTTCATCGTTATTTATTAGAAATAAATAAAAGTTAAATAAGCCATTATTATTATTAATAATAATAATAATGACTTTTAAATTGCCACGCCTCAGCTGTGAATGATCAAACTCCTGTAGTTGTCATTTTTGATTCAAATGCTGAACAATCACCACATCATCTGTACGCTTTGTTGTTGTTGACGATGATGATGATGATTGGTGCGGTGAAGGTCGGTGTACCTGTTCGGCTGATTGACATGTTGGACGCCACAGTGCGGGACAGCTTATTGGCTGACACCCGGTACAGGGACCCACCGATCCAGCACATGCCTCCTCCCCTCCAGTGCTGGGTGGATGACGGGTGTCTGTCGTGGGGAGCTCGAAGACGGTTCTGAAGGAAACTCCTGCGTGGGACAAGGAGGAGGCAGAGGAGGAGAGGAAATAAGAGATGAACATGAATTCTAAAGATGTTTGATTAAGTCGTATTCATACAGAGCAGTTTCTTACACCTTGGAATGACTGTAACTGTCCCTTAAGCTCAGTTTACAAACTGTGTGAAATTTTCAGTCATGCTGGAATGATATTACTGTATCTCCCTCAGTTCCACCCCTCTTTTGCCCGTCTTCCCTCCAGCTCTTCCTCTATATCTCCCCTCCTCACTTTATGTTTCCCATCCTCTACTCTCCCCTCCTCCCCCTTCTCCCTCTCTCTCTCCCTCCCATGTCACAGCACTCTGTTAAATTGCTCCTCTAATGGAAAGGACGGCAGTGTGGAAATGGAGAGAATTGAAAAGAGGAGAGGAGGAAATCAATGAGATAATAGGCAGGGCAGGGGGCCAGAGCAGTGAGGTTGGCCCCTACACTGGAGCGTAGAGACCACACACACACACACACATACACACACACATACACTGTATCACAACACACTTCAGCTACAGTACGTACAGTGCACACAATCACAGGCCTCTACACACACATGCTCACCATTCAGGAGCCACTCAGTAGACTTGTGTATGTGCGTGGTGGCTGAATGTGTGAGCCTGCGATGTGTGCGGGGATGTTGGGTGGTGGTGGGGCGGTGCAGGGGTTATGGCGATAAATTGCGCTGTCCTGTCACTTCTATTTGGGGCGGATTGGGGCTGGTGTGCAGGGCGCCACTGGAGGTAATTTGCTGCCGTATTTCAGATGGGCTGGAAATGGGTTTAGAGCGAGAGTTCATGCCTCCCATTACAGAGAGAAGAGAGGGTTACCCCAAACGCACGCCACGCACAAAACAACTGACATGGACGCTTAACACGCTGCGGGCCGCGCTGAGCTGCTGCACTGCTGCAAATAAGAAAAAGAGGGAGCAGATATCAGCCATCAGCCGCGTTCACGTGCACCATCTACCTGACTGCGTGCCATAACTCAGAGGCACAGACACTCAGTTTCACTGATCAGTGGCTGCCCTACACAGGGCAACAGCAGCCAGGGGAGCTGTAATGGAGGCTAATGTTGGAGCGCTGACTGCCACCCAGGGAGGCTTAAACAAGGACCGGGCGGCCTGGGGAGCCACAATGGAGGTTAATGGGGATATGACATGAACAGTTAACACAGACGGTACTTAACCCTGACACAGGGCTGTAGTCAGGGGGGGTGAAAGGGGGTGTGACACCCAGTCTGTTAGCATTTTCACACTGGGTCTGTGTTTTTGGGTCCAAATCTCAGAGTGATTGTCCTGCTTATACACTAATTTCAATCTGAGGTACATTTCCATGTTTAACCCATAAAAGTGCAAATTCATCACTGTTGCCAAGAAATTATGTTATCACAGTTTTAATGTTGCTGTTTGGCCTTTTGATCGAGAAGGACAGAAAACATGGAGAGAGAGAGAGAGAGAGAGAGAGAGAGAGAGAGAGAGGGAGATGGTAAAGGTCACCATCCAGATTCAAGTAACGCAAGAATTCTCCTTCTACAAAGATACACGTAAACATCAGTGTCAGTGGAATAGGTTACCTTAGGTCGCAAAGACTCACAGATTAGCCATTGTTTACACTTCTAAAATCTAAATGTGTTGTGCAACAAATGACCACTAACATGTTAGCGTTACGCCGAAAATCTACACAAGAATTAAACAAAATAATCTCCAAACCAAACCTCTGCACGTTCACATGTTCCACGCTGTATGCTTTAGGTTATTAGACACCTCATGTTGGTCCAGTTTTGGCAAATGCAGGTAAATTAGAGAACAATATATGGGGTAAGAAATAACACCACAACACAGCATCAAACTGGTCTGCTGCGGTCTGGAAAAAGCATTAATAAAACTATTTTTAGCTAAACTCCGCAATCCAGACTAAACTGCAGTTTACACTGTATAAAGTTCTTAGACTTTAAGGTTTTGCTTGCATACACACATTTTAATCACCACACCAATGTGAGACACACAGCCGTGTGAATGAGTTTTAGCCTCAGGTCTAACACCATTAGTGAAAACAGCCTCTGTGGGAGCAGTTACCTACACAATAAGGTAATCTGCCTGTAATGAGAGAGGAGGAGAGGAGGAAGGAGGAACAGGAACAAACAGTGGAGAGCAGAAAAACTACAACATCAGAGAAGGGCAGAGTTTTTATCTCTGCCTCCAGACTCTCCTTGGCCTGTTTCCCGTGGTGTCCTTGACCTCCAGAGGAATATCTGTTATCAGAGAGCCTTCAGGCCCGTCTGATGCACAAATCCTCCCCTGCTGGACAGCTAAGTTGTTTCAGGGGGAAGCCTTTTCTATTGTTGTCTGTTTTGCATCCACAAGGCCTGACTGACATTTCTACACAGTCTTTATCCAAATTTCCAAACTATTTAAAGCTCCACTAATCAATATTTACTTTATTAACAATTAGTGACAAACCCTTATGAAATTATCACTAGCTTTTAGTTTCTTGTTTTGGTTTTAAGGTACATTTTCTTTATGGTTCAATCTCAGTCTGTCTATCATTTGCTCACTACAGCTGAACGACAAAGTTAGAGACAAGCCGGTCAGAAAGTGAAACACAGATATTTTTCTTGAGAGCTGTACAGTGAAGTCTGTAAACATTTTCTGTTGTTTTGGTTCTATATTCCAGAGAAAATGGGATTTGAAACAAAACAATAACTGTGAGCTTCAAACTGTTGATATAATCTTAACATCCATATTGGACAGACAGTTTTGCCGTTTTTATACACAAGTTCCACCAGTTTTTGTGCAGCAGGGTCACGACAGGGCTGCAGTCTTCACTCAGTATAGACGTTAATATTGTCTTCAAATAACAGCTGGATGTCAGCACTTTAACCTCATTGCCTACACAGCATCAAAACATGTGTCAGTCTAAATGCTTTCTATATTTCCTTAAGTTCTTTATTTTTTAGCAGCACGAATAAAAGTAATATTACAAAAAAACATTACCTACTCTTGACTAGAGGTTTGATGAACTGTATAGCAGCCAAAGCCCAAGGTTACATCTTTAAATGTCTTAACTTGACTAACTAACTGTGTAACAACATTTATATTCAAATTACAGAGATTTAAAAACAGACTGCAACAGTAAATCCTCACATTAGATATTTTTTGTTTTATGAATGACAAAAAATTTGTTGTTGGTTAAATTTCTGTTACTCGATTAATCCACTAATTATTACAGCTGTGAAATACAGTATGTACACTGTGTGTTATAAAACAGGAAGACAATGACTGGAGGTCAGAGTGAAAGAAGTGAAAGTCCACAAAAAAGACAGGAAAACATATGGAGGGAAAAAGACAGAAATAGAGGAGGGGGGCAAGGGCATAAAGAAAGTCCCTTGAGACTAGTCTGTAAGTGTGTGTGTTCGTGGTTGTGGGTGTGTTTGTGTGTGTGCATGCATGCAGGTGTGTGCACGTGGACTTCTCTGACCATGCGATGCACGGATAGAGGAGAGCGCGATTCAGCATTACCCGCGCTGTTGATGAATGATCCGACTTTTGTTTTAGTGACAGGGAAGAATTTGGAGGGTCGCGCGACTGCTCAGAATAATGCTGCCCTCGTCTATTTGTCTGCAACCCAAGCATTAGTGAGCTCATATTGGGAAACAGTTACCCTTGAAACAGAGCACAGCAAAAAACAGTCATCTGGCTAATTCCAACAGTGAGGACTGCTGCTCTTCTTCAGGCACTTAAAGGAAACCAAAGCAGCGTCATTACGCATCATGATCCTATAACTTAAGGGGAGCCGAATAATGAACAAAATCCTCTTTTAAGACAAGTCAGAGAGGATCACTGCAGAATACAGCGTGAACAGCACCACAAGAGCCTCATAACAAGCGACTGGAAGAGACGGGGAGATGACTAATGTGATGGGTAATGAGTAAATGAATGAATTGGGGAATAAAAGGGGATGAATGGGGGAGTGAATGCGGGAAAAGGAGGAGAGAAGTGAAGAAGAGGGAGCGCTGCTTCACTTTATTGCCCAGTCTCTTACATCCTGAACTGATCGATACTGAAGCACTAAAGGAGATGAGCGCCTGGACCCAGTGTGTGTGAGTGTGTGTGTATGTGTATGTGTGTGTGTGTGTGTGTGTGTGTGTGTGTGTGTGTGTGTGTGTGTGTGTGTGTGTGTGTGTGTAGATGTATACACTCAAAAATAGTACACTTATTTGGAGTTGGGGTTGTCTTGCCATGTTGGGGGCTTTAAGTTTATGGCAGAAATAAATCAAAGTCAGAGGCAAGTGCACGAGGAGACAATAAACAGTCGTATGTAGATGTGGCACAAAGTTTTCATTAAAAGAGAAAGAGAAAATGAAAGAACAGCAATGGAACAAACATGACATGGCTACAAAAAATTAAAGAGGGGACAGGGAAGAGAAAAATGGGGAGTGTGTGTGAGAGAGATGAAGGGAGGCGTGGACTGTAATTTATCCTGCAGTGTGCGTGCTTTATGGCTTTCTTAATTCAACTCCTGCTACTATTAATGGAGTTAATGTTGAGATTATATCTATTTTCTGGTGGCGGGGGCTGAAATACTGCAGCCGGTTCCTCCGCCTTCAAACTGCTACCCAGCACTAAATCACCCACCACCACCATGACGCTCACTATGGCTAATACCAGGTGGAGGGAGTAGTATGCTGGGTAGGGAGAACCTCACTTCCTGTGGGCCTGGGAACAGGAAGTGTGTACAACAAGCAGGTTAGAAGGGTTTAGTTAGACTGGTTGGTTAGTATGATGCAAAACTGTACAATAATGAGTTTTTTTAGGAAAACAAACTATTGTGAATATTAAGGAGAAAAAAAGTCTAAAAATGATCTCTCTCCTTCCTGTGCGTTATGATTTTGGTTGCATTTGCCTTTTATCTTTATGTTTGCTAGACTATTTTTTTTCTCTGTAAAATACTTATAATATGCAAATTATGTTTTATGAAAGGTTTTACTAAAACTGCAGTGAGTACTAACTCTGCTTTTATTGTCCTACATCCATATGAATTGATTTTGTATCCCTCAATGAAACACCGTAAATAAAAGCTGACTGAATGAATGAATGAAAGAATAAGAGAAGCATGTAAGTTGTACGTATCTTGAACTGCCTGTGACCATCTTTATACAGCAGCGGGATTTCGATCTTGTTTTACCTTTTTTGTACCATCAAGGATTCTTTCACACCTGTTTGGTTCGGTAAAAATGAACTTTGGTGCATTTTCCGGTTCAGTACAATTAGTTTGAGCTGCTGTGAAAGTTTTCAATTGAACTCTGGTGCAGAATAAACTGTAATCCATCATAATATCGCTGTGTAAAACACCTCTTCTTGGTCCTTTCTCTACACTTGCATGGATTCTTATGTTTGACATTTGAGACCTCCGGTTGTCTATGTTCAATGAAAGAAATGATTTTGCATGCTAAAACATGCTAAAAATATCTTTGTAGTGGGATTATCCAGCCCCATCTAAAAATCAAAACGGTGTCTTCATTGCATATATCTGTGTTATGTCGCCATGTCAAATCTATACATCCTCTGGACCACAGTGCGAGGGTGGGTTGAGGTTGGCTCTTGAGTAAGAGGTTCAGCTATGACCAGATACAGAGATAAGAGCTGAGGACATATGAGGACAGGGTCCGGTGGGTCTGATAGGCCAAAGATGAAGAGCAGCACTCAGTAGTTAAGAGCAGAGAACATGAGCTCATGCTCCACTCAATAGCTGCAAACTGATAAAAGTGGAGGGTCTTTGGAGTTAAACAGATAGATAAGCATGAGAAAGGAGCGGATGAGTGGGTGAGCCGGGCAGGGGGGGGGTGATCCACTATCCCTGGGGACCCGACCTGTCCCCCTCCCTCCCTATCTCTTTCCTCTCTTCTACACACTTGGTGATATTTCACAAGATGTCACGGGGCTCAAATTGAAAATCCCTTGATGAATCAATATTTACTGCAGCAGCTAAATGAATAGTAATAAGTCACCAGAGGCTGAGTCCAGCCACTGTCCAGGGCCCTCTGTCTCACCAAATCTGGATTACACAAATGAACCCACCCCCCTCCCCCATCATCAACACACACACATGCAAAACATAAACACACAGAATGCTTTAATTATTAACCAAACAAATAACAACTTAAAGGATCAGTTCATCCAAATTGTAAAGATGACATATTTCTGCACTTACCACTAATGGCATGTAGCCACAGAGACAGTTGGAACTACTTTCTACCAAAGAAATATTCCCTACATGGAATCTGTTTACAGTGGTTTGTGGGTGATACTCAGTAACAGGAACGTCGTCTCTGGAGAGTAAAGTTTCAAATCTGGATATCTGAAAAGCTCAGTGCATAACAATGGAATCATATGCATGATTAGATACCGGAGAGAAAAAATGTGTTTTTATTAACTGGATGAACTAACCCTCTAAAGAGCACACAGAATGGAGGATTTACTATATTTCCAATATTAAAATATTCAGAATTTAAGACACATTTATAATGACTTTGGCAAAAATGTTAAACGTTTGCTGGTTCCAGTTTCTGAAATGTCAGGATTTGTTTGTTTTATATCGTTATTAACTGAATATCTGTAGTAATAAAAATAAATGCAATTTGAATATATATACTTGGGGTTTAGGAGCTTGTTAGGAATATTTTTCACAATTTTCTGCTCTTATTCAAAAAGATATCGACAGATTTATCAATGCTGAATCAGTTGGAGCCCTACAAGCTCTTTTACCACTAAAACAATACGCAGAGTAGAGAAAGCTACACTCATGCCATTTTCAGCTCCCTGCAGTTTGGTGTGTGTATGTGTATGTGTGTGTGTGTGTGTGTGTGTGTGTGTGTGTGTGTGAGAGAGAGACATTGTGTAGTCATACCGCAGCCAGTTTCCAGGAAGAGCATCCCGCTAATTCTCTGCACATTAACAGATCATCAAAACCAACCACAACAACCCGGTCACAGCTTTCATAACCAAAGTTCAAACAGGACGGAGCCACTGCAGAGAACAGAGCTCAACACATTCATTCATAAATGTTAGCAGTAGCACGTCTTTGTCATCGTGATAAAGTCATGAATGAGGCTTTAACATCGCCCAGTAATGGCCGCCTCATAAACATTAATTAACTCTCTACTCTCAAATATGACCTCACCACCACAACCAGTCATATCACACATAAAGATCTACTCAGCTGTTTATGGTTCTGGGCTAAAAACATGTATTTCTATGAGTCACACAGAATTCCATATTCCTTTGTTAACAGACAGGTGCTGAAATTATTTGTCGATTAATTGATAGTTGACAGAAAGTAATTTATTATCATTATTATGCAAAAATGTTAAATATTCTCTGGTTCCAGGTTCTCAAATTGAGGATTTGCTGCTTTTCTCTGTTTTTATATCTTTGTAAACTGAATTTATTTTCACTTTTGAACCATTTGTCAGACAAAAAAAACAATTTAAGGGCAGCACTTTGGGCTGAGTTAGGATGAGTATTGAGACAGAGGGGATTAAAGTTAGATAAATGAAGGTAAAAAAAAAAAAGAAATAAGGAAGAGATGGGGGCTCTAATCACATTAAGACACAGACCCGCCCACCCATCCCTCTGTCTATATCTGGCCTAGGTGAGACACTTTCCCTGCTGGTGTAAATTAAAGTGAGGAGAACGTTGGTGCAAATGGTTTATTCTCTGAGTTATCTACTGTGTAAAAATGAGCACCATAAATTTCCGACCTCTTCCACTCATGCTCCACATGATGGTGACATAAAAGACAGGGCCCTGCTCTGCACTGACAGATATCAGCCATTGAGACACATTAAACCCAGACCTGCAGGAGATGTGTGAGTATTTGTCTTCGTGGATTTACCTGGCAGACTGGATCCTCTTGGCTCTCCAGGACAGGGCGGGGTTGTAGTGGAGGGTGTGTGCGGTGCTGGAGCCCGGGCGGGTGACCATCTTGTAGCGTGTCCTGAACACCCGCTGGGAGGCGGGGCTATAGTGGGGAGAAGAGGTGGGACCTGAGGACAGCAACACGGACAGATGAGTATGAAAATCTGATCACACATGAAACATTCAGTCAGTGTGTGAACAAACGCACATATACACATAATTTCAAATGCATAAAACTGTGAGTACACACACACATACACACAGAAGTTTGTCTGAGGACTCTGGCAGGTGTGCTCTTTAATAAGCTTCACATATAAAAATGAGAGGGAATAACAAAGGCAGAATTTTTATGAGCATAATAAATCATTTCCTCTGTCTCTTTCCTCGCTGCCTTCATCCCTCCTGCCCGGCTCTCATTCGTTATATCATTTTACAGATCCATCAGAGAAGAGGCGTGAGAGTACAGAGATCGGAGTAGGGGGGGAAAAAAAAAAAGAGGACTAAGTATTTTTTATTTATTTATTTATTTGGCTGTGTATCCATCATGTTGTTTTATGATGGCCTGGGCTGGCTGACATACTCGCACGAAGAAGAGAATTTGCATTGTGGATCATCCCAGTCCCTGTTCACCAAGATTAAAGACTACATGAGCCAGGAGCCTCTCTACTGAAGTCTGAAATGTGGGGTCACTGTGGGTAGTTGTAGAGGAGGATTAGAGGATTCTGGTGTTTCACAGATTTAAATTATTTTCCTTTCTATCAGTTATGATGAAATTGTATTGAAGTCAGACCCAGCAATATCGTTAAGAAGAGGTCCACCGGGTCAAGTCGTGAGGCCAGGTCATGCTGCCAAATATCTGCTCTTTGCTCGGGCGTGTGTAGGATTTAAAGGCAGCTTCGAGTTAGGTCAGGGCTTGAGAAGGTGTCACCTGTCAGAGGGTTCAGGAGATTTATGACGAAAGCCTGATACCCATTAGCGATAGGTCAAAACATAATTTAACATGAACTCTGAGCTTGGCATATTTAACTGTGTATCTATAACTGTGATGACATTTACAGCAGATAGTTTGGGGAATAATTTTAGTTAGCATTTTCAATTTTGCAATTTGTTTTCTGTTCAAAATGAATTTTAGAGAAAGTTCAATCCAAATAACTGTGGGTATTCTGACTTTTCACTACAACCAACCAGGATTTGCCACATCCTCTGTGAGCCAACTGTCTCACCTGTTAAAAACTGTTCCCATCTCTGCTGCTGGCAGATGTCAGTTCAGTGTCTGATCGATGTGAACTACCTCCACCCACCGTCCAATTCTTCATTTGAGCCTTTTCTTCACATTTTCATCACTACCAGTCTAGTACTGCTTGTGACGTACTTGGTCTGTACAATGTTATTATTGCTAATAGAAACAATAGCCAAAACTAAATAAATAAGATCCAAGATATCCTCACTGATGAGCTTTCACACACATGGATGAAAAGCTTTGTGGGAAATTGCATTTGTAAAAAGCCTTTTATGAATTAATTTGCCACAAGCTGTATAGTATTTCATGGAGAGGTAAAAAACCTTCCACTGCTGCATCCTGAAAAGACTTAATGCAACATGAATCAGCTGCTAAACATATTCATTTAAATTATTCCACACACACAATAAAATGTCATTATCTGCGCCACCTTTTCCTCCTTGTACCAATCCTTCACTGTGGTGGTCAGTGACAGCACTCTGTCTCCATAATGAGTAAAGAAGAGACAGAGTGGGGGGGGGGGGGGGGGGGTAACAAATGAGTTTATACACCCGGTAAGGAGCTCATTTCCAATCGCCTCTTTCACATGTCTTTAATTGCCAATTATCAGGATTGTTGCCGTTTTAATTAGCGTCCAATAACAAACCATGACCACGAGGGCTGCAGTGACAAATAAAATGATTCGATTTCCACTTTCCACAGTTCTCTCTCTCTCTTTCTCTCTCTCTCTCTCTCTCTCTCTCTCTCTCTCCCTCCTCCCCTCCGCTCTCACTCCCCCTCAGGCGCTGGTTTCATTTGTCGGCCGGGATGCAGCTCTGGATCAGCTGGAGAATTCATCTCAGACAAACATTTACTGTTGAACAAATCACTGCTAGATACTGGCTGCATGTTTAGAACACACACATACCCACAAACACACACACACACACTGTGCCTTGTACATATACACTCAGGAAGAGGCTCACAATGTCTGTACATAGGGTTCTAGGGTTATTATTCTTTCTTAAGTCTAAGTTGAAACTGTATCAGGAGCCCTGGGGATCTTCGGACCACACATCTGACTTTGTTTGAGTGAAGTTGCTGTGTTCCCATACAGCAATTAAAAACTAACTAATCAACTCTTATCAGTTGTATTAGTTTTGTTTCACATGTAAAGTTGTGTCGGAAGTTGAAAAGTACAACATAGGTGCTGACGAGCATTCAAGTGTGCTGAAGAGTGTACAAGTATTTTATACGTGATTTTCCAGATTTACACGCAACGCTGTGATATGTATCAAAATGAGAAAAAAATATTCTCATTAAGGTGATTCAGCCATATCACCCAGCCCCAGATCTGTGGGCGTGTTAGGTGCATGAGAGAGAGACCTAGGAATAAAAGGCAGACAGCACAAGAGAGAGAGAGCTAGGGAGAGTATATGGGTGCAGGTGGGGGAGGGAGTGGTGTTTTGTACAGGATTAGTTGCCTGGCTTGAAGTCACTTTTTGTCCCACAGTCCATCTGTATTGCAGTCAGAGCTATTTGGGCATCTTGGCAGATGACAAATAGGGCTTGTCAAAGGTGCTGCCACAATCCCCACCCCACAACCTCTTACACCCCCCCCTACCCCCTGCATCCCTAACCTGCACCTCAATCTGCCTCTAAACCCTCGTTCGAAACCTCACGACACCCGCCATGTCCACGACACTGTCACACAGCTGTTCCACCTTGGCTACTGTTTAATGACATCTATAGTGAGCTGCACCATTGGTGTGTATCTCTCAGCGTGCGTGTGTGTGTGTGTGTGTGTGTGTGTGTGTGTGTGTGTGTAAGCGTCAGCAGGGATGGATGGACGGTGTTGCTCTGATTGTAAACCACTGCAGGTTGTGTTGGTTGAGTGGCTCTGGGAGCAATGGGGTCTCAATCTTCCACTATAGGACCATGACCAATGAGCATGTGAACACACGCGCTCACACACAAACACACACTTACTCACACGTATACACCTGGGGTCTCAATCTTCCCTTAATAGACCTTTGACAGTGGCCTGCCTCACAAAGTGGGGGGAGTGAGCAAAGTGGCGCCCTGTGCTGTGAAGACACCGTTTGCAAACGCATGCAGCTCACACACCGTCCATCCATCTCTCGCTGACTCGCTGCTGTGAACCTGCAGATAATCTACTCCGGTGGCTCCACGCTGCACTCATCGCTCCTTCTGCAAGTAGCCTGCCTTCTACTACCAGGGCTACAGTAAAGGGTTGGTGCAACACATTTTCTCACTCTGGTGGAATCTACCCGTGCAGATAGTTTTGGATTTGTTGATAATAACATTGGTATCAATCAAATGTTATTTATTCATCTTACCAGTCCAATTCTATATCGATTCCCTTAACTAAATATTTTTTTAATATTACTTACGTATTAATATGGCGCTAATTAAGATGGTGTTCATGATATTTACCTCTCAGTAATGAATGTGCTGCTTGACTGGGAAGCATTCGTGTGAACAGTCTGAAGTACACAGCATTCCTGGAGTTTAAGCCCATGTTGGGTAGAAAAATGTTTTGGCATGTTGCTGGTGTTCCGAGCCTTATTTGAAATCATCAACAGAAGAAAAAAACATGCCAGCATCAATAAAAGGGATCAATAAGCTTGGAGGCATACCATTTTGATGATTAAAGCAATTTGGAACCGACTAAATAACACCCCAATATTTACATTTGAAAAAGTGGGAAGTCTGACTGTCTCACTGCTTGTATTTCTTCCCTGTTGTTCATCTTTTAAGCAATGAAGTCCTGTTTCAAGCAACCACTTTTGTTGAGTAATCAGAACTGTTATAAATGATGGCCAATGCTATGAAAATAAGATCCAAGAAACTGTAATTATCCATTTTCAAAACTAAATTCCACTCGTTTCCATTGTAAAAGACTGGAGGCAGAAATCTGACAAGTATCTAAAAATCTGGGCAAGTAAAACCACAGGGATCTGCATGGATAGAGACCAATGAAAGTAATATGGGTGAGCCCACCCTTCAAAACAAGTTTTATTTTTATCCTCTCTGCAATATAACAGGTCTGATCCTCTTCCAAAAGAGGAATCCACTCAAAACTTGTGACAAATTACTAATGTAGATAGTGCTTTATCAACATTTAGCAGCAGATGTTGCATCACATAAGTGGATCTGCGAGTGTTGAACTCGAGTCACATCCCTAAGACGACTGAGCCTTGTCTAAGCGGTGTGGACGAGACTTTGAGTAAAGTTGTCTTCCACTTCAGAGCTTTCATACTTCCATGCTCTCTATCTCTCTATCCTCAGCCCTCTGACTGGGGATACTGACAGGCCACTGCACCACACCTCCCCTCCACCATCCTCTTAGGGATCCCCCCCCCCAGCAGTCTCTCCCTCCATACCTGACGGCTAATTCCAGGGAACAGCGGTCTCCGTCTGCCCCCTCCCAGGGACGACCCAATGGATAATAAATCTTATTATTGACAGCGCCTGTTCTCCCTGCCATCCCATGTTCCCGTCCCCTGGGGCTCATCTTCTGACTCCCACTGCTCTGCCGCTCTTACAGAAGACAGCGGTGCCATGCTAACATCAGACTTAACAAGGGAGTTACCACGATTTAATAACCCGCTGTAAGCCAGAGCGGTTATGATAATATGATCTCTGCGTGTTTGACACCCAGTGATACTTTCTGACAGACTACCCAGAGATGTCAACAGAGTTTGATATCCCAGCCTGCCAACAGAGAACTGCATTCCATGGTCTTAAAAATACTGCATCCTGTAACTCATCGCAGTATATCATGTACTCCCAGAGTACGACTAGAATGTGAGCTTTGCAGGAGTCGTTGCATGTGAACACATTGAACATCTTGTTTTAAGACAATCACGAACTCACTTCCATGTA